TACTACAATGCACTATCGTCATCGATCAGCAGACGGATGTCATGTGACCATGCAGCCTGCCTTTTTCTCCAACTAGTAGCAGTTGAACATTGCGTAGTCTTTTTCAAGCCACGTAAACCCCTGCTGTAGATGTGAAGGACGTACTGCAAGCATTATGCTCATCATGCGGGCGGATTCGACATAACGTAAAATTATATCTAGAGGCATTTCTTATTTTGCTGAGGAGAAATGCAGCTGTTCATGACTTCCGGGAGCTTCATGAACTTTTACCGCTACATTATGATCAATCAACTTTGTTTTCCCCAAGTCGTGACCTTGGCTCGCAAAAGCTGCCAGAAGAACGCATGAATATTTCGTTTTTTATTCAGAACATCTTCTTTCCTGAAGATGTTCTGAATAAAGAACGAAATATTGAATCAAACATGGCTTTCATTAGTCTTTATGGAGTCTGCATAATATTGAGAACGCATGAATTTTTGCCTGTCCCTATCTCCATTTTCCCTTTAGAATGGGCGGCCATTGAAATATCACGCTTGGCTGTTTTAAATATTAATTTTTTTACCCTTTGATAATCATTTCAATGCATCTTTTTATAGTGATGGTTTTACACATATTTTCGATTAAAAATTATTTTCTAGGAAAGCAGAAATAAACTTGTCAAGATATTATTATTTAGGTGCCACATAAATTATTTGTGACATACAAGTAGGTGGCATTTAACGGCTCTTTGAACGTCTATTTTCATGTTACCTCCTGCTACTCTATGGATTTAAATTTCCGGAAACAAGCCCAGTGAGCAAATAATGAATGACGTCATGAAGCAACTGACTCATATTTTTCAGGCTTCTCTCTTTTGATCTTTTCATTTGAAAGTAACGTTACAAATTTCACCTTTCAAAAATTGTCATAATATCTTTTGAAATTGTCAGAGTGCCCTTTTTTCTTCAAAAGTAGAATTTTTAAAAGTTAGTAGTATCGGTCATATCCCTATAATTCTTAATATAAAATCTTAATACAAATGTGCCTAGGCACCAGACTCTACACCGCCTCCTTTTTGAAGTATTGACACAAACAGTAAAGATGGTGGATCGCTTGGGTGAGTAATTTTAACTTCCTTTACGTTGGAGGCGTACTTTCAATGAATATTTTACAGATTCTGATATCCTGACTGAAGGAGTGAAAACCTTTATGTGTTGTGGTCATTTCTGTCTTCGCAATTCTGGGGGAGACCGTTGGGCATTGTTTGTCTGCGCCAAGAACCTACATGACCAATCTTGACTTGACAGTCGTACATGTACATGTCATACGACAATCAACGTGACAGGGCTGTGCATTGACATTGCTGTACCATGGTTGTTCCCATCCGCTGAGTCAAAGGCAATATTCCCGTTTGTGGTGTAATTGAACTCCATCAATGCACATTTTGATTTTTGTCACTGGCTCACTGCTGTTGTCATCCTGTCACGTGTGACTACACTGTACATGTCTTTACTCCATTTTTTGATTAGACAGGGCCCGACGAATACTCCTCGGTCGTATACTAAGCCATATCCTGATTCATAGGGAGTTCTTTTGAAAAATTAGTCCGGGATATCTGGGGGCATAACTAAACATGTGCTTGATTTTATGAGCTGAAATTGCCCCGGTACGTTCACTACTTCCATGTACATTTAGGCCTACAGGGTAAACTTTTTGCTAGGTGGCTAATTGCAGAAAACTCGCCGTATTCTCTTTTGGAGGAAAAATGTTGCTTTTTATGCAATTTCCCACTCTTGACAAATTTTGGCCTGACTTGTACATTACATAGACTGCTTTTGGTTAGGTAATGGTACATGTAGCCTGTACAAGCACCTGTCTAGTTTGCACCCAGACTTCAGCACCTAAGAATTTCGTTCAGATCTGTACAATCATGGCTGTTGTGTATCACAGCTAATGTGCAACAACTTTGGCTGGTTCCCTGTCCAGTCACACACAGCTTGTGGCAAATTATTGGCAGCGTGGCTCGCCCTCTGTGACGTGACACGAAAGTGACGAAACAGCCGTCAGTTTTGTCAAAATTCGTCTGGAGTAGGAAAACGGCAAAAAACATTTTTCTTCCGAACGAGAAAATGGCAAGTTTTCTGCAATTAGCCACCAAGCAGAAAGTTTACACCGTAAGTAGTGAACATGCTTGTGCAATTTCAGCTCAAAAAATCAAGCGGATGTTACGTTTATGCCCCAGGATATCCGGAATAAAACTTTTAGAAAGAAATCCCTATGAATTGGGACAGGGCCCAGTATACGATGGAGGAGTATTTGTCGGGCCCTATTTACGGATCTAAGACATGCCTAGAGACATGTGAAGCTTGATTTCTGATAGAGACATTTTTCTGATAGCATCTTTTCACTTTTTTATGCAGTGAAAATATCTTCTATATAAAACATTCCAAAAAGATTGTACATGTATGTATTTGTTATTCATGTGATTAAAATAAGCAAAAAGGCACTTTCCTGCACAAAGTAAATGGTTTCTGTTATAACAGACACATGTGTTAAGGGAGACTGTCAGTGCTATGAGATGTTAATGTACTGGCTACATCTCTGAACAAAGAAATCGTAAACTGATTTAAAATAATTTTTTTTCCCCAAAGTCAAACCTTTGTTGCTCAGTTGTAATAGTCCAACCATCCTGCAAAGTAAATATATCCAGACGGGCCTTTTTCAGTCTTCTTGACTCTAGACTCGATGAAGGAAACTCGTACAGTAATAACTTAAATTCCCAACCCAACCTACATGACCTAGTACCATCATGATGCACAGGCTAAGTGAAGCTTCATGTAGAATGGACATGTGCACATAAAATTCATCTGTCACCTGGCAGGAGGACACCAAAAAATATTTTTAAAAATGCTCCAGTGCCCCTCTGCCAACAACAGAGAGGTTCATATACATCATTTATAATAAACTCGAAAAGGTCTCTAGGCCTACTGGTATTTTTGAGTCAGTGATGCAATCATTCATATTTTACATTGTAAAATTACGCTATGTCAAAAATATTTTCATGGACTGAGGCAAAACGAAAAACAAACTGGTAAAATAAAATGACTAATCTGAACACCCCCCCCAAACTCTGTGGGAGAAGTCAAGATTCTAGTGGTGGATTTCCTGATTTGATTAGACAGATTGATTAGACAGATTGAATATTGTTTGTCTCTTTTCTTTGCAGTGAACAGCGAGGCGAACGAGAAGCGCATCAGTCATGTTCAGGCTTGCTTCGGCGGTTCAGGCCAGGTACATGTAAAAAGCATTGATCGTTCCTTTCTTGTAGGTGTTCCTAATATTCGGCCTGCCGTTGAATCTATTTTTGGAATATTTGGCTTTGTACAACTCTAGTAGCAATCACCATCATTGGATCTTTGATTACGTGTCACTGATTATTTTGCACCTCTATAATCAACAGCAGATTGTTAAATATGCATGTATGATGTGCGTAACGTTAAATGTGCTCATTGTTAAAGTACCGGTACTTGTCCAACTTTTTCCAAATAAATGTACATGTAGATACCATGCCTGTTTTTCCACTTTAGAATTTTCCAGTACTTCTCTCTGTAAAATACATGCACAGTAAACATACAGTTGTACATGTACACTGTACGTTGGCCTTTATGTCATTAACCAGAGATTCAAATGTATGTGTACAGTGTATGCATTACAATGTAAATGTACCGGTACGTATACATGTACTGTTAGTCTTGACCACAAGACGCTAGTGCTTGATTACGGATCGTATTTACATGTAGCCCTCTGATGACTCTATATTGAGACCAGCATGTGCGCTCATTATAGTCTTGGACATCTCATCGAAGCAGTGTACACGTAACTATTTCTTTCTAAGTTTCTCTGTCATGTCCGTAGGCTTTCCCAGGACACCAATCCTCAATCATGAAACGGTTGTCAGTTCTGTGTCGACAGTAACAATACACACTTTGTACAGAATTCAACCATAAAGTGTGGTGATCAAGCACACTGTACATGTTTGTAATTACATGGTACATTTACATATTCATGCACTGTTACCATGGTTAAATGTAGCGTATTGATACCCTGTCATGAATTTCCAGTACCAAATGAGAAGCCACCGTTCGTTCAAAGATATTTTATATTATAACATGAAAATTTACATGAAATGGCTACGCCTCATTGATGCACAGTGGCCAGAACTATACATTTAGTGTTGGCATAGTACCCCCATAAAAATAAACACAAAATGCTACCATTGTTTATCACTGACTTCTGGAGCCAAAGCTACATGTATGTACATGTATGAACTCAATGCTTCAGTTTAGAAACATCAAAGAAAAAGAATTCATTTTCCAACCGCAAAGTATCATTTTCAGTTTGTTTGTTGATTCTGATTAATATTCAGATCGTTGGATGTACAGGCACAGTGCCTCACAAACCTTAAATAAACAAGCTGGTTTCTTTCCACATTTCAGCAAAGCTTAGCTCACATCCCAACTGCCATTTCGCTATCAATTTATGATCTCCTTACTTGGCAAATTTCCAGTTGACCTTGTCAATGCCATGGCGTGAGGTGACTTCCATTTTCAGTTCCGGTGCCAAAGTTATTATTTTTGGGAATTTTACACTTTCATCCAAATACATGCACTAGAATACAGAGAAAAAAATGCATCTACCAAGCATATTGACCGTTGCTCATAAATGTGTTGGATGAAAAGTACATGTACATGTAGCATATCGTATTTTATGTATGCATTCCTGTGTGAGTTTGTCAGAGTTCCAGGTAACCATTAGTTTGTGTACATTCAAGCGTACATGTACATGTACATGTACATGTACTTACATGTGTACGTATGTGGATTTTTCAGGTTCATTTTAAGCATTCACATAAAACCAGACTGTGGTTACATCAGTTGGGGCAAAATGGAATTTGTTGTCGTAAAGGAATCCTCAGCCCCACCCCTTACCCTAGAAAGTAGTTGTTCTGTTTTAACAACATTGGTGCTTTGAATCCCTTTAAAAGAAAGAAAATTTTCAATGTGTGGGGGGAAGAGATGGTTTAGATGCATCTACATGTAGGCCTGAATGTGTGCTTGGCTGAGCATAAACAACGCAGGGTCTAACTGAAGACCTTGACATCATACATCCTTTCGCAATCAGCCACAATTTAGCCGTAAACTCCCAAAATCCTTCAAAACTGCCCAGAGGATTTTAATGAGCCCAAAACCTTTGGAGACAACTTTCTGTCCCTGCTACTGGGCCCCAACTCTCCCAACAAAGAAATAGTACCCTCAACGCATTGAATGCCTAAATGGACATGTACATTACATATACAGGGTGTCCCAGAAAAAAACCAAACCCTGATGAAAGAGGTTAATATGCCCAAACCATGAGATATGATTATAATGTCCGAAAAATAGAAGCAGTATTCTCTCTAATGTTATCTTGATGATATCCATCCTGCCATGCATGACTGAACACCATTGTCTTGAAAATGGGGCATCCATATGTATGGGGCATACATTATAATCATATCTCATGGTTTGGGCATATTAACCCCTTCCCTCAGGGTTTGGTTTTTTTCTGGGACACCCTGTGACACATGTATGTTGTAGGCAACTACATGTATGCATGTACTGTACACTGCACTAGGCATGGCTGAAACGTGCTTACATGTTTACACGTTCTCTGTTCTTAGATTTTATCAGTGTTTGTCATTTGTCTTCAGATGCTGCTTGCGCCGGGGCGTGTTCTGGTCGGTGAAGGAGTTCTCACAAAACTCTGTCGGAAAAAGCCCAAACCACGACAGTTCTTCCTTTTTAATGATCTTCTCGTCTACGGCAGTATTGTAATGAATAAGAAAAAAGTAAGTGTGTATTCTTTTGGTGTTGATTTCAGTCACAGGTCAGGCAATCCTAATAAGATCAAGTCAAAATCATTTTGGAGAATGGTTACTGAGATATTTTTTTTTGTCACATGAATTTTCGCATTAGTAATTTGCTGTTGCTCAAAACTTCTGAATGTTGATTGGGAATCCTTGAGTGGATTAAGCCTCTGTTAGTAATGGACATGTGCATAGTTGAAAGAGGGCGCTATGAAACCTCTCAGTGAAGCCAAGTGAAAGTCAGAAAGAGCCTTGAGTACTGTAAGTCTATTCCGAGTTAAATTTGAATAAAATCTGGTACACTGAGCTCTTAAATTCACGTGAACATAATGTGAATTCTCCACAACAATGACACTGTTGCTGTACTTCGTGATTCGGGGCAAACTTTTGTTTAGTTACATAAGAGACGCCTTGCATCAATACACTGTTTTCAATGGATGAGAAGGGCACAAAGGAACCAGTCCATTCCAGAGAACATGGTCGCTATGCAAAAGCTTGCTCCGATTCACGAGGTATAGCAACAGCGTCTTTAGTCTGGGGAATTCAAATCGTTATGTTTCTGTGCAATCAGATAACACAGTGTACCAGATTTTATTCAAATTTAACTCACAGAAGGCTTAATGCTTGAAGGCATGTTTTCCATGTTATTGTAAATCTTTATAACAGAAGTTATTAATTTAGGAACACTGAGAGGTAAGTACGTCTATTCCCGGTCCCTCTATAACATTGTAGATCATAAGAGGACCAAACGGTATCCAGTCTATGAGCTCACAAGATAGAAGCAGCAGAGAGTTGGTAGCCGTTTCATGGTGGTGCAAATGTTCAATGTCTGTTCCTCTTTCAGTACAGCACCCAGCACATTCTACCCCTTGAAGATGTCAGGTTAAAGTCTGTTGAGGATGATGGCAGTGAGTACTCATTTCATCTCCAAATTCTTCTTGATAATTCACATACAAGTAAACTACAAATGTACCTCAGTTTGAGGAAAGAAAATTCCATTTTGGGCCTAATCCTGTAAAAGGAATCCTGAGGCCTTTTTTCCCCTGATAATTGGGATTAGTTTGCTCTGAAAACAGGAAATGTAGCTCCATTTGTTTGGTATGACTCTGGTACCCCAACAAATATGGACCTCACCAGTATTTGATGGAACAGTTCTAAGAGTTTCTATTGATTTCCATCATGGGAAAATTCCTGCTCTGATGTTTTATGACTCATTTTGTTGAGTTGGGCCACATTTCTGGTTCCAGATCTCTACTATTCAAACCCATCATATGCAATCCAAATTGTTGGATTGATTTGGAACGGAATGAGGAGCAGTCAGGTGGGGTGGATGAAATACCTGAGGGTAAAGAAACTGTCAGGCCCTCCAATGGAGATTAGTTACAAGCTCAGAAATAATTCAACATATCCTTCCTTGTTGCTGTACCCGTATTTATCTGTAAAATGCTATGTACAACACATTAAGTACACAGTGTACATGTACATCCATACACTTGTATGCAGTTGCATGATGGCCAAATCCACCTGTTCAGTAATTGATCCATGGAGGTAATACACACATTCATGTACAAGTACATGTGCATGTGTACAGGGGCACGAACACCTGGTACAGACGAATTGATTGCATGCATGGACAGGGTTCATGTAGCCTAGAAAACATACACTTGTAAGCAACAACACACACTCACAAAAAATGACATTAAGACTGTAGGCATAATGTACCTATACATGTATTCCTCAGCATATGTACATTTGAGGTCAATTTCCTGTCCATTGACTATAAAACGAATCTTTGGAGGGACATGTATGATGAATTCTAATCCAACTTTATCCACAATCTAGCCCATTACTGTACATTTACATTGCAATAGACATGCACATTTTTACACCTTTACAATGCACATGTGCATTGTGTGCTAAATGTATAAAGGATCATGTGAAATTTTCTTTTGTGTAAATTGTAACCTCATAAATGACAGCATATTACCTGTCTTTGTCCCCAATGCAAAGATGTTAACCAATTCAGACTATAATCCTCAGTATTGGGTCAGAAAGAAATTTGTCTTCTATACATTACAAGTACATGAGTGTCTGTCTTTCTCTGTTTCTGCAGATCTCAGAAATGGTTGGCAGATTATCAGCGCCACCAAATCCTTTACCGTTTACGCTGCCACGGCAACAGAGAAATCAGAGTGGATGGCCCACATCAACAAGTGTATCTCAGACCTACTTGCCAAGAGTAAGGACTTTCTTCTATTTTTCATGTCATGCTGAGCCCGAGGTGTTCAAGTCATTTAATTCATGATCTAAGCCTAAAAGAGCTTCAAGGTTTTTTTGGGGGGGGCCTAAATGGGGGCGGAGAGGTAGAGACTCAGCCCCCCACCCTAAGAACTCATGTCTCATGCTAGATCTTTTTGAAACTTAGCATGGACTTGAAGACACTCCTTATAAGTAAATCTATGAAGCTTCTGTTGAACTCCTTCAATGATTTTGTTGCACTATGCTCACTTGAAGAAAATGGCTTTAGGTTGCCGGCACCGACACCTGTAGTATGTATTTCTTCTGACACTTTGCAGAAAAATAAACATTTTGTGAAAACAGCAAGTCCGATGTTCACGAAACTGGTGTCAGAATGTTCACGATATGCCTACAGCAACATTTCAGCTTGTAAATCCAAGTTATGCAGTTTTTGCGAAGGGTACGCTCATTCCGTATATATATGTACAGTCGGTGATAACAATAGCAAAGTAAGGCAGACGATGAATTACCTTTAGAACAATCAGTGCCTTCTCAAGTCTACAGAACAGGAGAGTAGAGGAAAGTCCATGTACAAGTACACTTACAGACACTTCTCTGTATATCCCAGGTGGAAAGAAACCAGCCACCGAGCTGAGTCCTGTGTGGGTGCCAGATTCCGAAGCCCCTCTTTGCATGCTTTGTAAGAAATCCAAATTTACGGCTCTCAATCGGCGGGTAAGTCAGAAGAAATAGTTTGAATTCAATATGGAGGGCGGGTTTCAAGCAATGAACCTACATGTACATTTATCATTTGGATGAATTGTATCAGCAGCAGCAAATGAAATTTTGTCCAGCTACATGATAAATAAATGGTCGCGGGATGTGCAAAATCTGAAACTAAGTTAACCTGCAATATTTCATAGGGTTAACGATACTGAGAAACCTATCACACACAGGGATAGGTCAGTGCATCCTAAGTATATTTTAACAATTAGTCAACCCCAAAACACGATACTTAAATATGAAGTATACATCCATAGGCTGTCCTTTCCTCATCATGCAATCTACCATGTCATATCCAAACATGTCTTTATTTGGTCGTTTTGAATACTAAGCTTTATGGAGCAGCTGTGAATGTTTTTGTTGTTGTTATCGTTGTTTTAATTTATGATACAGATTTAATGGAGGAAATTACCTCACACATTACGTACTTGCGGTAGGCTCGATCAGTTCCTTCGTCCAGTGTACTTTGTTGCTTTTTTATCAAGTGAAAACACTTATGGTTTTAAAAAAAGAATGGTAGACATCTTGAAATGAAAACTCAAATAGTCCCACCTTCACCTGTTTTTTGAAAAAAATTTAGACACAGCACGTCAATTTCTTTTTGCTTTGCCTAACGATGACAAATTTCTGCTTGTTCAATTCCCAGCATCACTGTCGGAAGTGCGGTAAGGTCGTATGTGGCCAGTGCTCTGCTAAAAAGTTCCTGCTGCCTCAGCAATCCGTCAAGCCACAGAGGGTTTGCAACGATTGCTATGAGCAGCTCTCCTCAGGCCAGATGAGTGCTCAAGGCAAGAATCCTGCCGATGGTAAACACCCGCACTGCATGAAATTGGGTCCAGAAAGTAGTCCCGGACAAAACGCACCAGCCGGATCAGTGTCATTCTGCCATATCCATCCTCGGATAAGAAAAAGTCACATGAGAAGACAATCTTAACCAGATAAAAACAAAAACCAGATAAGAACACCGTTGAAGATTAGTTTGCAATCAGGATGTCTGTCTGTACATTTCCTTCCGATGTTTTGTCCGACCACTTTTGCTTTTGGTAAAGACATACACCAAAAGTGGTTGGCAAATAACAGATGTCTGACTGATTTCATGCTGTGCTGTTCATGTTCACCCTTTCACCCAGTACGGGCAATTCACAAAAGAGCGCCTCCAACAGTGCAACACGTTGGCCAATCACAGTGCGCGAAATCTGTCTACCCAACGCGCATTGGGACAGGGTTTACAGATTTCGCGCATTGTGATTGGCCAACGTGTTACAAATGCATGGAGACGTACATGCAACTGTGCATCACCCGTATTGTACAACTTGTTCACGCCTAACACGTACCCACCCCAAATGCCACCAGCCCCCAGCATATCCTACACGTGCCCCTATCCAATGCAAGAACCCGATGAGCCTTGTACAAGTTGGGTTTGAATAGAATTTGTTACACTGCATTATCTGATTGCACATAGACATAAGTTGAATTACCCAGACTAAAGACACTGTTGCTAATCCTCGTGATTCGGGGCAAGCTTTTGCATAGCGACCACCATCTCTGGAATAGACTGGTTCCTGTGTGCTCTTCTTATCCACTGAAAACAGTATATTGTTGCAAGGTGTCTCTTATTATAAGCAAAAGCTTGCCCCAAACGACGAGGTATAGCAACAGTGTCTTTAGTATGGAGAAGTCAAATTGTTATGTCCATGTGAATGTATAGAACTCAGTGTACCAGATTTTATTCAAATTTAACTCACAAAAAGCTTATATAACCCTAACCGCCAAGCATATTGTTTGACTTACACTACTCAGTACTACAAAATACTAAGTAGTAGTCTGAGCCTGAAGGACCTAGCACTACAGATTACTACTTCTGGCTAGGTTACTTCCATTGTTACTCGTACAGAGAACAATAAAGCCATGCATTCATAGTGCCAGAGCACTGTATGGTACATTGTCTTATCTTTTGTATTTTGTGGCTTCTGAGAACAATGAAGTCATGTCCTCTTACAAGCGACAGCGCTCAGTACTACATTATAGTACAAGTAGTAATTTGTAGTATTACGTAGGGTTAGGGTTTAGGTACTATTCCACTGCTCATCACATTCCAAACCTTCGCCAAGCCTGACCCTAACCCAATGTAACTCATACTCCTCCCTGATTTGAATCCCTTGACCCGAGGCTAGAAACTAGCTGAAGGTGTATGAATTTGTATGCTTGATTTCACAACCTTTCCTATAAAAACCATCCAAATCCCAACCCTACGGTACCGTCCCCCCTCCCAACCTGCCCATCTGAACCTCCCCCACATCCCAACATACCTTCAATCAAAGTCCACATACTGCCTCATTAAAACTAACCCAATGCTGACCTCATTTACACCCCACAGCTCGAACTCAAAGACAAACGACACCTGAATATTCCATCATGGCCACGCCCTATTGCTAACCCAGCCCCATCTCATCCTCTGACACCCCTCAACACTTCCCAAAGTCCAGACCCAAACTGATGATAAACATCACATCAATAATCTTCTTCAATGACTTGAAATGTTGTACATCTTGGGGATTTCATGCAGGCAAACGCCAAGGCAACAGTTTAAATTACGGCCATGAGGACGACTCCTCAGGAGACGAGTCTACCGATGAGGATGAAGACGAGACGCCTGGTGACATGGCACCGGTTGAAGACGAGGTAAGCAAAGCCTTAGTAATGTCCGAAAATCACGTCTGTGGCTTGATAGTTACACATTCATCTATTGGAGCCACTGGCTTGTGGGCTAGCCACTTCTTATAGACATGCGTATTATCCTAACCTCAGCCTAGGACAGGGAAGACTATACAATGTTTTATTAGGGGGATTATTCAAGAAGCAGTCTGTCAGTTGTCATTTTTGGCAACAAAATTGAGTTTTATTCATCCACCTTTGTTTTTCTCTTGTCACACCAGCATCCAACATTCTACGAAGGCAACTACAAGTAGCCGGCTTTCTTGGTCATATTCACTGCAGACCAAGAGCGCCCTCTGTTGTCAGCATCCTCAAGGCTTTTGTGACTAACAATTCCACATATGTATCCTTGTTACGTATTTATACATTGATTTGAAGAGTCAGTATGATTTTGAATACACGAGAAAAATACCCAACACTTTGTTTTATTCAATCCATGTATGTAAAATATATATTTTTGTGCCCATCGTGACGAAAACCCCACACATAGTTACAGGCTGGAAAGAAATTGTTTGTACATGTAGCAAATGAATACCTTTGGTGTAAAAATATGTCAGTCCTTCATTTGGGAAAACCAACTGCAGGAAAAAGAAATAAGATTTTTTGGCAAACAAACTTTGGATTGTTAGCCAGAAACATGTCGTTCTTTAGTCAGAAAATTATGAAATGACAGAAATCACAAGGCTTAGTGGGTGAAATCACTACCTAACATTTCACGATTTCTGACTATTTGGCCATATTTTTTTCCAAACAAGAGATGCACTTGACAAACTGTGCAAACCACAAATGAACGTTATCTACCAAACACATGCTACTTTAATAACCTTTATGACACTAATGTTTACTGATTGTGTTTTCTACAATGCGTAAGAGGACACGATGAGACTGGTTGTAAGTCCCCTACAGAAAGTTGATACCGTCTGAGCACAACTCAGTTTACTGCGTCAATGTTTCTTGTAAATGTAAGAGAGATACTCATATATGACAGTTTTGAGGTCAGAAAAGAACTGTCTTGGTGTTTTTCAACATTCTGTAGGTTTATTTTGCTTTGTTAAGTTCATGGGGGGAAAAAGCCTGTTTTGCTAACGAGATAGCCAGACGTGTTATGTGTTTCTAAGCAGTGTTGAGGTTAAGTCCATCTGAAGTCCCATCTCAAGTCATCCGGTGTGAAGCAAAGTCACAAGCGATTGGAGTGAACTATACAAAAGCATTTCACGGTCATTGTTCACCCTATCCGCTCCGAGCGGAACAAAAGAGGGCGTGTTTCTTTTGGTACTCACCGTGTAGACACGCCATCAGACGGAGCATGCTGAATACCGAGTACGTGTAACTAATTTACTTCATCATGTATCGTCTTTGTATACACGTAGAAGCTTGCAAGAACCCCCTTGTAACCACCTGTCTTTTTTCGCCAATTGGGGGCGCACTTCAGCTCGGGGCAGATTACCTGTGCCCAGATTTCACCTGGTGACTTTTAGAGACGTGTAAACTATAATCCTCAAAGATTGTGGCAATTCCCGCGTCACACCACAGTGTAGGCACTGACTTCACGTAAGACCAACACAAAAGACCCCATCACTGTTTCAATTGAATAATCAAGGACAAGATGGGGCAAAGTCAGAAAAAATGAACTAAATCCCAAACATGTATTTCAGTGAGTCTCTAAATAATATTTTTGGTGTAAAACTGGAAGTTATTGTATGTAATGTACATGTACGTTTACTGTTTTTAAAGGAAAATTAATTGAAACTTTTTCAATCAAAAATGCGTAAGATAAATATTTGATTTTTAGATTTCGATTCTCTGTTCTTGGAATTCTGTTGATTAGAAAAAAGGGTGAATTATTTTGTATTAAATGCCAAACTACGTATTTTTTCCCCCACTTCAGTTTGTTGCCAACTTTGTAAATTTAACCGAGACTTGTTCGAATACTTGGGTCGATTGCTGTCCAACATTTGGTCTGCTTGTGACTTGGAAAGAAAACAAGTTACAGATTCTAAACACAAAGGTGGTGTATGATATATTGCAATAATTCCTCTTGTGAGAATTTGTAAATAATTGTTTTAAGTAAGATATAGCCTGCATGTCTGCACTGCTTAATAGCCGGAGGTACATAAATTGATTGAATTTGTTACCCCTTGTAGTGACCCAATATATCAAAATGAGTCACAAGTTGCTGGAGCCACTTTGAAGTGAAGGACTTGTAAGGAATTTTTACCGATGTAAATCAGCAGGAACCTGTAACCTTTTCCCCTTATATGATGTCCATTTCATTAGGATGCCAGACGCAGTGATACATCAAAAACAGCCCTCCCTTTCCTCTTTCAGGTACAAACTTCCAATACAGCAATGGCCTTATGACTCATTTTGTGGGATCCGGTCACATCTGCAACTGAAGTAATAATGTTGCACATGTTTTGTTTTTTTTTTTCCAAATAATTGACAAGTTTCACTTGTTTTAAATTGAGGTGTAATGTACAGTAGGGTTGAGTGTGTTGTATACATGTAATTGGAGAAGCAACAATTTAGCTACATGTATCTGCTGTGAGGCTTGTTTCATCCATGAGGCCCCAAAGAATAGCCTCCGGTTTCTGGTCAGGGATTGGCTTCAAAAGTGGTACGGCAATGCAGTTTTTCCCCCCTTTTTTCCCTAAATATGGGCGATCTCCAGCCCAAGCGTACATATTGGCAACACTGAAATAGACTGGCTCCCTCACAATTTACTGTTTCATTTAAGGCATTTTCAGCTTGTAAATGTACATGAGACATCAAACCACCTGCTTTGTCTGGTGCCCAGGTGTAAATGTATAATACAGAAATGACATCTGAAAAAGATTGCCCAACTAAATATATAGGGTCCTAGAAGGACTCCTTCAATGTACATATAACCCTATCTAAAACACATTAAAATCTATACAGTAGCAGGATTCCAGTCAATCAAGCAAGTTTGACAGCTTTTGGACATCGTATTTTATCAGATGAGCTTTTTTATTTTGTCGACGTGACCAGAAACAGGAGACTTTTTCTTTAGCCTTAAGTGCTATTTTTAAGTTTATTTTTATTTGAAATGATTTAACGTAATCGGTTGAATAGAGGAGCATCGTTGTAGGTGCTGAGTGTATGCGTTACCCACTCGTTCTTTTTGTTGGCCATATCCTGATCTCCGTCACAGACAACCAGATCCATAGCAATTCCTGTTGTCAGAGACAGATTTGTGTTTGCATGTTTTGTTTTATTAGCCTCGGAATAATATACATGTACCGTTTCCTGTTTAACATCTTGTGCCCTGAACTGGTTATTTAATATCTCTGAAAACGGAAATGCTACACTTGTATGTTCAGATTTTATCTCTATACAGGGCATCCCCGCCCTTTTGTAAAGGCCAGCTGCCCCTCCCCCTTTTCTCGTAATGCAGAATCTACCATTGGTGTGTAGTATCCCATTACTGTTTCCATTAAAAGTTCCACTCTGTCGTCGTTCAGTCCTCTAGCCACCCCCCATGTGACGTCCCATTCAGATTTGTCAGTCATGGCAACAGAATACCGATGTTTACAAGCTCACCAACATCAATCACGCCAAGTCAACTGACAGACAGCTTGACATGAAATTGTCAGACTGAGGACGAAATAAACTGTGTATTGAGATTCTAAGAAAGATCTGAATTTAGGTTTGGATGAGCAATGTGTGATTTTGTGGATCTGAAGCCTATAACAAGAAATTACATGGTCATCAAATTTGTTTATGCCAAGTTGTGGGAGGGGCTTAATAGATGACTCCCCTGTTGTAAACATGGACATGTAGAGATCATTTTGAGTTACATGTTCAGCAGAACAAGGATATGGTTACGATTAACTTTCAACTGAAGGTGTCCTTCTCACCGTAGTTCAGTCAAATGATAAATTCTGTTCGAAAAAACTTTGAGGGCAAGTTACAATAAACAGCTGAAACATACTACTCAAAAAAGAAGTTAGGGACCACTTTTTTCTTATTTTCGTGAGAGGGTCTAGCTCTTTCATTTTTTATGTCTAGATGATGTTCTCATTGGAATAAAAAAATTAAAAATGTTCCAAAACAAAATCCACATTTTCAGCAGTAAAATATGTAAAAAAGTATACACAAAATAAAAAGTGGTCCATAGCTTTGAGTAGTGTACATGAATTTTTCCTGAATACAAAGATCATTTAACCATGTATTCAGTACAGGGAAGCATTTAACCGTTCATTTGGTGGCCATTTTGTCACTTTTTCTTGTCATTTTTTTGTTCTTTTAGTTAAGTTGCAATTTGAAAACTATGAGGCAAGCAGTGATTTGTTTACAACGGTATTTTTGTGTAGTGCATTATATTTTGGGGTCAAATCTTCAATAAATTGTATTGTCATTCATCAAAACGCAAACTTGATTTCAAAAATCTGACCTTTCATTCCACCTGCGGTTGGTCTTCAAGCTCAAACTGTTTTATGTCAGACACTCGACTTCAAGCATGATATTAGCGTACGTTGTTCAATACATATACCCTTTCCTCTGTGGCTCCAGGGATCGAAATGTTAAAAGGTCTACCAAGTTGTTTTTATGAGAGGTTTTGTGTGAATCTAAGTTGCTTGTATTTAAACTTGTACTACCTGTATGTAATATGGCCACCTTTCATTTCTTGTACTTTCACATCTGTGACAAAGATTTCCACATTTGTAGGTCAATTAGAAAAATACGCCACTGTTGCTTTATGCGATTTCAACGTATAGCACATACGGAAATCCTCCTTTCAGTTTCCATAGACATGTATATGAACAATGAGTTGTTTCAGAACAAAATGTGTGATTTGATGAAATGTGAACAGTAACACCCCCCAACACATAAATGCCACAATGTGACGACATGTCCAGCTATTATTCAGATATTTACCCAGTTTTGTGTTATAAATGTTCCTGTTATGCCCATCCTGTCAAATACAGCAATGGGGATTGTGATGTTATTCTAGGCACCAGCCTACTCCAGACATACATATAAGCCTCGTTTTCAACCTTTCACACCTGTTTTGTGGGAGTTCAAAGTTCACCTCTGCATGAAGGTCATTACCCTGTATTATGAAATAAAATTGTTATCAAAATGTCAAAAACCAGAATATGTGCTCAATATTTGTCGTGCGTTACATGTTGGATTCAAGACGATATCTGATCACTCCACCATCCTCGATATCCTGTTTGTTTTGTGCACACACAAGGCCCATGTGCTGAATGCAACTCGCCCGCTGGGCACGGGATACTGAAGCAAATTACATGTATCCTACCCATGTTGAAAAACAGGGTTGTGCAAAGAAATATACAGGAATTTCAAAATTTATATTTTCAGTCAAGATCATCTACAAGTTGTTACTCAATATTGCTGTCATGGACAGGCTGTCAAGTAAAAAAGCTTCTTGTTAGTTTAATTTACGTAAAATCTTGTACACCGAGTTTAGATTACACATGGAGCAAGCTATTGCATAGCGACCACCATCTCTGGAATTGACTGGTTCCTGCGTGTGCTTCTTATCCATTATGAGCGAAGTGTCTCTCATGTAACTGAGCAAAAGCTTGCCCCAAAACACAAGGTACAGCAACAGTGTATTTAGTAGGGAGAATTCAAATTATGTTCAGTTTGAACACGATCCGTATGGAAGTGGTATGTACATGTACAATGAAGAACGCATTGTTCTCATAAAACGTAGCTGATAATTGAGAACGAAGAAAATTAATATAACGCAACAACTGGGCAAGCGGACTCATCACCAGTCATCACAGAAGCAATGTGCAGTCAAGGAATCCATCGAGAGATAAGAACCAATGATGAAACGAACAAACTCAACGGACGGAACACTTTTAAAAGAAATAAACAACCAGGCATTTTGTAAGTTGAAATACTTCTCATTTATTAATCCACACTACCACATCATTCTGCTTGGCATTCTCAACTGGGTGCATCAATGCACCACCTCCACAGAAATCACCAGAGGAACTTTTCCCATCTAGAGACCAAGTTCTAGAACTTGGCAAACTGTTTCTTCTCTGAGCCAGGGGCCTTGCTGACCTTCAGGACGTTGAAGCGGACCGTCTTGCTGAGAGGCCTGCATTCGCCGACCGTCACCACATCACCCAGCTGCACGTCCCTGTAAACAATGAAAATTGGAATGCATTAACAGATGTCAAGTATTTTTGAGTCTTTAAATTCTCATGAACTTATTAAACAATTTCAATTCTCCATACTGAAGACACCTTTGCTATACTTATTGATTCGGGGCAAGCTTTTGCTTAAATGTAGTTACATAAGAGACACCTTGCAACAATACACTGTTTTCAATGGATAAGAAGGGTACAAAGGAACCAGTTCATTCCAGAGATGGTGGACGCTATGCAAAAGCTTGCCCTGAATCACGAGGTATAGCGGCAGTGTCTTTAGTCAGGCAAATTCAAATTGTTATGTTTATGTGCAATCAGATACGAGTACTAAATTTTATTCAAATTTAACTCACAAAAGGCTCATTTCTAAAATGTGCTCAGCAGATTTTGAGCTTTGAAGTTAGCAGTAGTTGCAATGGTGAAACATGTCAAACATTCACCTATCCCCTGCCGAGGTTAAAAAGAAACTGCCTATCCACAAATAGTACGTTTTGAAACAGACACGCCTTGGTGCTATCAGAGGCCACATTCCTACTGCATCCAGTGTTTTGGAAGGAAATGTGAAGACATGTTCACCAGCGTAAAAGACTTAGATAAGAATGGGTGCTTGTAAAGTCTGCACAAGCAGAGACGGTCTGTCACTGAACCAAGGGCAAAGTTCTATAGTCATTTGCAAAAGTTTAAGACCACCTGGAAATGTCAGGGTATTTCAGTCGATGGGCCTGCGTTCCTTTGTCTCATGACACGCATGACATGATTACGTAACACGTTTAATACAGAGGTCCATACCATGGAAGTAGTGCTTTTAGCCCATTTGAAGGAAAGCTTTTGCTGAGATAGGTCTTTTATGCCATTTTGTCTTTACTGCAGCATGGGTAAGAAAGCCAGTCTAAGTCGGGTCCAACGGGTGCAAATAGTGACCCTCCATCAAGAGGGCTACTTTGAACGTCAAATTAGTGAGAAGGCTGGTTGCTGCAAGACTGCTGGGCACAATGCCATTTCAAAAATTTCAAAGAGATGGCTCATTTCCTGACCAAAAAAGGCATAGTCATCCAAGAACACCATATCCCTTGTGAAGACCAAGTGATCCAGCAAATTGTTGTGAAGGATCCCTCAAGTTCTTATCAAAATATCAAAGTAGCTTTGCAGTCCACTGGGGAAACTGTTAGTTTAAGCACCAATTCTTGCCGTTTGAAAATAAAATACATGTAAGTTTAACAGATTTTCTAAACTTTGGTTTTTTTCGAGTTAGTACATTTTGTATGGGTGGCCTGGTGGTCTTAAACTCTTGCAAAGGACTGTACTGTGACACTGATGGAACTCACCTGAAGCACGGTGACAGATGGACAGACATGGTCTTGTGTCGCTTCTCAAACCTCTTATACTTTCTGATGTAGTGGAGGTAGTCTCGTCGGATGACAATCGTCCGCTGCATCTTCATCTTGGTGACCACGCCCGACAGGATGCGGCCTCGGATGTGCACGTTGCCGGTGAAGGGGCACTTCTTGTCGATGTAGTGTCCATTCTTGGCCTGTGGACGGGCCAAACAATGTCAAATGATGCCCACATTGTAATTGAGTCCATCGTAAATCAAAGACAAAAATGGAGAGGATGAGATGGACAGTTCATTGGAACAGTTTGCAAACTCAAACTGGATGACTCAAGATGGATTTCGCTCTAACAGAACACTAGCTCACCACATACAGCATTTCCACGGACAAGATTAACTCAAGGAAAGCCTTTTATGAATTGTTAACTCCCAGGAAATGATGAACTAGTCAGCCTGTCAAGAGTATGAATTAATACCTTGAATGAAAAGACATTTTGAAATGAGAATTGACTTTACAGGTTTCTTACTGATATATAATGCTTTACACCCAGTGAATAGTCATGGTGTGTTTCCCACTGCAAAATAGAATTTTTGTGTTTTTCTTAACTTCATTGTCATGATTTTCATGTGTCACCTTCCGTGTAGTTTTCAAATTAACGTTGCTATTACAATCTATCACTCAACAAAGCCCTTGCTTCATTAGCATTTTTTTCCAGAACCAAGGTATAGAATTAAGGGTTTCTACGGAGAAACGACACAACACAAGGTCATGACCTACCTCTGCAGGTGTCTTGAACCCCAAACCAATGTTTCGAACAAGACGGGCTGCCTTCTTGCCTGACCCTAGGAGACGCTTCTTGTTCTGAAACACAGTCGGCTGCTTCTGAAAGGCCTTCTCTGTCTGCAAGGGTAATGTCAATAATAACTCCAAATCAGTTACTGAAGGATGCTACGTGGACCAAGGCAATAGACCCCACAGACTAACAAAATTTAGGGTCATTCTACTTAGCGTCAACAAGTTATTCAAGAATATATATAAAAATAACGTGTTTTCAACATTAAAAGGCTCCTGAGTATCATATTCAATGTATTGCATTTATCGAGAATGATATTTGAAAGTGGAATTTTGAGTAACAAAGTCCGGCCATGTCAGGCAGCCTAATTAGGAGCAATCTTGTTGTCGAGCGAACGGCAGAGAAAAGAAATATGGAGGTCCCCATACACTGCAAAATCTCTTTTTTCTTATGAGAATCTGAAAGCAAATTAGCTATTTTTTCTTACACAGTGGCAGATATTAGAATCTCTTAAATACGGAAAATCCACTTTTAAATCTTCAGGGGGTTTTCAAATTGTCTATGCTTTGTTGACACTACTTGTGCATGTTGACGCTTGTTGACACTAAACATCATCCTCACCAACAAAGAATACCCAAGCTAGTGGAAGTATTTCAACAAGGATGCTGCCAAGGCCATGTACACATGGACCATACATTCAGATGGAAAACACTGCGCACATTCAAAGCGCCTCAGATTACATGTGCACGAATGTACTCAGGGAAGCGGTGAGTCTCCACCAAACTGAAGGAGTGTCTTTGCTATGTGAGGATATGACTTCTCTTTTTTCCACTTAGAGTGGATATAGTAGGCTTGAAAGTCACATTTTGAATGCAAACAGCCAGACAGTCATCTCATGTTTCCTGTTACCCCCAGAACTGATTCCAGTAATGTCCACCTCAAATCAGAAATTGTCGAAGTCAGCTCGATGTCGCCATCTTGTTCAAATCATGATCAATAGTGATTTTAACTGTGTGTTAAATGTGAGTAAATCGTACCATCGGCTATTGGAATTTCATGCATCTCTGATTCTCACTCTATAGCCGGGCACATTAGACAGTTTAAGGATCGTTCTGAAGGTGAATTTGGAGGAGCTATTTTGAGTGAAATGAATTAATAGAAGCAAAAGCCTATGGAAGGTACTTGGACCCTACTATTGCCCGACCATGTCCAAATGTTAAAAAAGGCGTTTTGTATGGGGTCCGACTCCAAGTTCAGTACTCGAACCATACCTGGTTATGCAGTTGATCATGCAGGGCAGCAGGGTATTCTGCAATTGAGCTTCATGGGATTTAAAACACAGAGCCGCCCTACACCACTAGACATGCTAGAGCCTAGAGGGCGTTTGTCACTTGTAACCCCCCCCCCCCATCAACTGCAACATTATATGTACATACTTACTACATCATGTCGGCCTAGGTCTACATAACAGACGTGACAAAATTGATAAAAAAACCCACGCAAATCCTTCTTTCTGCGAAGTTAAATTGAAAATCAAACTCAATGATCCACCGCCCTAGTAGCTTATAATTATTGCTGTCTCATCATAGTGATCACAATCACATCTAAAGGCGCTCAAAAGAGGGATTATTCCCCGCGGTTTTCGCGAAGCATTACCTGATCCGCCATGTTGAACGTGAAAAAGGGCGAGTGAAAACTTAAAAATTAAAACGTACAGCTAGTGTCGTATCAAATCATGAGGACACTTTCCCTGACGAACTGTTGCTTTCTCTTTAAGACTAGGATTCTCAGAAATTCACAAAATTAAATAGATGGCCAAAATATTGCCGCACATTTTGATGTAAAGCAAGGTAAAACAGCAGGTAGTCGTTAAACGCCAACTATCTGTTGAAAAGAAATCTATGATTTAGCTGGTGCACATTTTTCATGTTTTCGCAGTGAGCGTAGATTCCTGGGAATATACGAAAAACTGGTACCCGTGTACACGTGTGTGAAGACAGCATTGCATACACGTGATTTCCAAATCTCGAATCGTTCCTTTTTGGGCACCGTGGTTTTAATCTTCTCAAATCGTACCTGAGAGGTCAGTCAAAGTATACTCTTTGCTCGATAGAGCATATTTAATGCCATCTTAGCTATGCGTTCGTAGAATGCGTTCTTAGAATATTTCATACAAGTTCGAATATATCAGGCCTGAAAGCAGTTAACAGACAGAGCCTACGGTGGTGACACCTTGACCCGATTTTTGCCTAGTTTTCGTAAAGGTGTGTAAACGGCCAAAACTAGGTTTTTTGCACATGTCGTTTTAGTACGTACATATAACCATATTTTTGTATGTTAAAGTACACTGATTGATGTTTGAATCTACCCTTCCTCCTGTGAATTTTGTTCCCCAATATATGCTTTAAAACTTGAATTGGCAAACGTCAAACGCTGAACGAAAGGAAAAACTTTTTGCAGTAGATCACAGGGGACATGGGGGACAGGGGACATCACAAGGGATCACAGGGGCGCAAATTAGGCTGCCGGGGATATACCCCCACTTTTTGAGGGGAGATGAGGAATTGAATCATCCCCCCCCCTTTTTGTGATAATCAAAATAAAAGCGGATTGAGATGGATGTTTTGGACTAACTTGAATGTTTTCAATATCAGTTAAAAAAGGAAAACAATTTTTAAAAGCCAAGTATGTCATTCTGAATGAGTAATACAGATGTGCATCTATCTCAACCCCCCCCCTTCCAAAGTTTTATGGCCGGGCAAGTCATCCCCTACACCAATTTCCGGGACAGATTTACCCAACTGCGGAGGGCGGTGTAGTAGCTTTTCTCCCTTTTTACGTGTACGGTTGAGGACAAAATTTTCCCACTGCCCCCTCCATCAACAATTCCTGGATCCGCCCCTGAAATTACCACTCAAATCATTGATTCGTTCACTTTGAATGGGAACAGGTGCAGGCAGATCAGTTTACGCCGATCGACTGTTTCACAGATGACACAGGGGGACAGTAGTTTTTGGAAAAGAGTTCCAGGTTGTTCCCCCCACCCCGAATAATGACTACGCCTACTTCTTGCACACGCACCTGAACAGGAAACAGAGACATAAATCATGTGTAATATTTATTCGCCCCATATACATGTACCGTGAGCGATATCAACATTATGAGTTCGCGTGATGAACGAGAGTTTACGAGTTCAAGGACGCGTAACTAATATAATTACCATAACAACTGGTGTTATCACCACCTAAGCCGCCATTTCGCACAATGCAAATGACATAAAAGCAGATTCCAAATTCAATGGGGATGGCTGGAAAATCACCTGGCGCATACGTCTCAACAAGTGACGCATAGTCATCCTGTATAAAAAGCGGGTATGCGTGTATTATATAGCTTCAAACTGAATGTAAGCCTGTGACTGTTGACAGAGTATTCCCCACCATGTTATGCTGGATGATAATCACCTTATTATGGACAAGTTTTGGTATGTTATGCTTTTTGTTATTAACGTCATTTTTGTTTAGATGCAGTGCAATGTTCATGTCACTAAGGAATGCAAATTCTCTAAGCAGGAAACATTACCAGGAAAGACTGTGATGTTGGCCTGTACCTATAGTGTATAAATCATTCCCAGTCGTTCTAAAATAAAGAATTAGGAAGGTGCGATACAATTGTTCTCTCTAAAAATGAAGCTTCTAAAGGTAATTATTAATATTGACCTGTAATTACATACATGTACATGTAAGCATGAATAGGCGTTTGTACAATAATGTCGTAACACGAGGGCGCTGTAATAGCCTGTATTTCGGTGAGAAGAGGTTCTAATGTGGTGCGATGAGTGACAAATATTGTTGTTCCAATAATTATGCTGGTGCAATAATGTACAGACATTCCAGGGTCACAGTGGGGTTGTGTGAAATAAAATGCATGCAATGAAAGCTGGTTCTACTCCATTTTGTGCATTGCTTTCCATCTAAAACAATGACCTACGTGCGCATGATATCTTGATAGGTGGAAGTCGAGCCCTGAAATGTTACACGTGCAGCTCGGATGCAGTGAGCAACTGTGGAGATCCGTTCTACACGGAGACAATTGATATGCCAACATGTCACAATGACTTGGATCAGGGGATTTGTACGGTAAGTTCAGATAAGCAAGAGGACCAGTACTCTGTTAAAGCAAAAACGACAGCTTTAATTTCTCCTCCAGGACTGAGGGTGAGAGACCCGCTGAAATGTACCATCAGTGAGTTTATTGACTGTTGACGTCAGAGACAAGTTTTGCTTCTGTCAACACAGTCAGACATCCTGCGGGCGAGATCGTGCGAGGAGTCCTGACATACATCGAAGAATCAACTCTGTCACAACACCAGAAAATGCCGGCTAAAACGTAGTACGTTCGCTGATTGGGAGCACCAGGTCCTCAAATTAGTGATTGAGCCCAGGTTGAAACATGGTTGAAAGCAGGCAGCCCTGGGGGCGCACTGCACAGCTCGACACTCGACACAAAGGGACGAGGTTGCCCCAATTGACTCAGGGAACATAAAATGCTCGTCCACTGTATTGGGGCAAGTTCGATCAGCAACAATATTTTACCCAATGGTTGATTTTGCCTGGTGCCCTGTCTATGTGTCATGCCTAGGCTACCAGTCCAGCTTAGATAAATAAACCACCCTCTGTTCTTTTATGATATATTTATATTTTATATATTTATGACATTAATAGTTAAATTCTGACCGTTTTAATTAGTTAATGTATGAGCCTAACAAAAGAAAAATCTGTCTGAAGAATCATAACATGAAATAGGTCACAACAACGTCTTCAAATTCAAAATTATATAATAGAATGTTTATCACATTCACTGTTACTTCATCAATTTCATTGAAGGCCGGTTCAAATGAGTTCAGGCAGCCAAATGATAAAGTTGATGCATGATAAACTTTGCCTGAGAAGTGAATCGACCAGCATAAGTCAATGGCAGGCTGAAGGGGATGAATTATTTCACATTCAAAATATACCAAAATTACCAAAGTTCTAAAAGACTGCGAACTTTCCGTAAAGATCAACATACTAGGCCTTTAACTTAATACATGAAGGTGTATTTCATTCCATCTTGTCTTAGCACTTTGCAGCTTTTTGTTGATTTAGTTCCCAATTTCTTTTAATTTTTCAGAAAACAAAGACTTCAGAGGGCGTCGTGAGTCGAGGCTGCGGGTTAAAATCGTACTGCAAAGACTCAGTGACCGGCGGAGAAAACACCTGCAAAGAGACCTTGGGAACAACAAGGTGTTGTTGCTATGGTGATGGGTGCAACAGCGCCCCCTCAAGGGGTGTAGACTACCCGTTCCTTGCTGTCGTGACATTATTGGGAATGGTTCCGTACGTATTTCCATAAGTATTTCCCACTCACGAAGCCTTATATTAAAAACAAAAATTCAGCTGCGCCGTATTATGTCGAGGCCATTATAACTGTCAAATCAATGCTTCAATATTTGTGGGTACTTGATGTTGACCACCATAATTGGCAAAGCTAATGTCACCAACGACCAAAAGGAAAACTTTCTTTTGTATTCGCTGTTTTGCTCATTACATTTGTTGATTTCCCATGAATATTATAAGAAAAGGTTACACATAAAGGCCATCACTCGTCTCTGTTGTATAAATATTTAACCATTTAATTGAACTTCACTTTACATAGACATTCTGTAACTTCCCTTTTATTACTAATAAAAGTCCAGTTTAAGAATAATTTCCAGTTACACGTTGTGTTTCTTTCTTTACAATAGCACCAGGATTTAACCTTAGCCTCCCATTCAATTTTGAGGTGTTAAATCTACATTTTGTTACTTTATTGATGCCTGTCTTTTACTGGCAAACTTTCAAAGTAAAGGCGTACAGCAGAAACTGCAAAGGAAAATAGGCGCTTTCCATCACTTTGTTTAGGCTACTGGTGTAAAACTAATATCATTACCAAGCACAGCCTAGACCAAGTCATTATGCCCCTATGAGTAAAGAGTTGAGCCTTAAATTAACGAGTCGTTTCGAGTGGTCTTCCTCCTGTGGTAAATTTATTCTGAAGTCTTTTTGTTATTAAGACAATATCATTTTATAGAATCCACCATCGTCCATCAACAGAAAAATAACATAGAAGGAATAAAAAGCTAGTTTTTGAAAATGGGGCTCATTCAAATAAAATAAGGATTACTGTATGTGTCAAAGAACAACTTGAACGTTGCGGTCCAAGCTCCATCACTGTCATCGTCCTGTGATTAATTAACACTTCGTCCCGCCCGGTATTTAGCTAAAGCCGTTTGTGCTACCTTACCGCGCACAGGCGGCTGGTTGATAGTCTGACCGAACTAGTTTGCGACCAACTCGTGCGCACATTTTACACCCAGCAAGAAATGAGAACGAGGGGACCCCCCCCCATATCTATCCGGTTCGTAAGTGACTTCGTCACAAAGGCAGACTCGGAAGCGCCACGATTTGCAGGCTCCGACGGTCCCGTTGGACGGTTGCTAAAGTTGCCCGTTGACTTCGGTTCCATGGTTTTACGTAAACGGCGATGCCTGTAACTCTATGTGCAGTGCATGTGCAGTGGGCGTGGTTTAATTTGAGGCGACGTCCCACATACAAGTTGGGTAGACCTTCTTCACCCACGTGACTCAACGTAAACAATACCACCACGTGTGGACCGCCTTGGGCATGCACAGTGATCGCGTAATACATGTATTCCCACGAGCATCTTCAAACATGTACAAGCGCCCGTGCGGACGCTGAATGCTTGACTAGTTTATCCCGAATAGGTAGATTACCGTCACAACACTTAAACTTGAAATCAAGTCGGTAATTGGCTGGGTGTATTTGGTTCAGTCGGTGCGGTTCGGCGTGCAGTTTAGTAATTACACGTAGGAACCGTGAGTGCAACCGATCCACAACCTGATTTCACGTCTACACGACATTATACCATTGAGAGAACTATCTATGCAATCACACGTATGAAGCCAAACCACGGTTCACAACAACACACAATGCATGACATCTAGATGCTCAACCAACCTTATAAATCTTCGTTTTTGAAATTAGGCTCCTATAACACGCGGGATTTATTTTCCTTAAATGTAAATAACCCCCCCCCTCCACAATTTCGGCCCAGGATTCGAACCCACACCCCATGCATCACAAACCATTATGATGTAGACGTAACCACTCGATTACCGCAATTCACTCAAGTTGGCGGTGTTTTTACTGTTGATATACCGGTGAACAGCTGCAACGCGAGTCTAATACATATTGGGCATGCGCAATAGAAACACAACCGCCGTGTTTGGCTTCATGCGTATGATGTATATACATGTATATCTCACTTGATGACCGAGTCACGTCTCTTTCGGGATGACCAATCACAAATTAAAATGACGCGCTTCGAAATATTTCTGGCGCACTAATTCCTGAAAAGTAGTGCCTCGCATTAAATACGTCAACATCGTTGTTTTCATAAAATTGGAAAAACGTTTTCGGGACACTGAATTACACTTATGACCAAAACTCGTGTATCCAAACATATTAATAAAGTAAGACAAAAGAGAAGATTGCAAATATTTGAGTGAGGAGAAATATAATTTCAGTAAGAGTGCTCAGTCCAGCAGAGCCCCGTGAACTCTCGACGCCATTTCACCTCTATGTCATTACGTCCTTGGAATTCGCGAAGCGAGTTACGACATCCATTTCACGAAGTCATGCTGGTGATAAAATACGCGAGTACCTGCACGCTTCATTCACTTTTCCGATAAAAGTGAGTTAACTTTGGCGATGCTTTGGTGCAATTTCCTTTGCCAGGAAGCATTACCGATTTCGTCAACCATACAGGGACATACGGCTTCGCCAGGTAAATTTGTTTGGATTTTGTACGCTCCAGGTTACCTTCTCCGACTTATGCACCTCACATACGGCGTGACCCCGCGGACCTACCGGGGCTTAAATCTCGATGTACTCTGAACCAGGTGTTCAGCATGAACAATATATCTCAAAGCAGCTCTGCAAAAGGCCAAGAATGAGACTAAATGGTTGCAAATTTGTGACCAAATGAACTGAACTATTAGACTGGAAATTTGGTTATTTCCTTCTAATGTGCTGGACTAAAAATTGTGAAATGTCGAATGATCTGAAAGACGATGATTTGGAGGCCACAAACACTGGGTGAGTGTGATGGTTCATAAAAGAAACCGAGGTATATGTACGTGAATTTCTCTAGAATTGTTTTCTTCCAGAATGGGTTATTGTGAAACATCCTCCCTAAGACCCAGTCTTCAAAAGCTAAATGACTTGTTTATGTCACGATTTTAGCCATATCTATTTGAGACCTGAAAAGAATGTCGAATTTCACCACCCCATTTGTCTTAAAAGGAATGTAGGCGTGACCCGATACAAAATAACCGGTCAGTCTGTCTTGTGCAAATGACCAATGAAATCAAGTCCTCGAAATAGTTGAAATCTGCATATGAATTAACCAGCACGTGCTTCTCAAAAGAGCCGCGGACGGGCTTTCGAGCTAGTCCTAGGAGGGCGCTTAGTTTTTTAGTCCGCGTTCGATTGATTGGCTGTGGTATTCAAAACACTTGAAAGCCGTGGTATGCAGCCAGGTGCAAGATATCGTTGAACTCGTCATACATTGGCCATACAGGGCGGAGCTCGTGTATGGAATGATTTAAACCTTTGGTGTACGTACGCATGCAAATGGTGATTCCATGTACGGACGCCAATAATTCACTACAGTGTCCTGTTAGCATTCAGAAAGCAAAAACATGACCAGAAAAAAATCAATTTACGAGAAAAAAATTCATATCAGTCTCATCGGGCTTGTGATTGCGGTGTAAAGCAATGTCTGTATTTGGAACTATTTCTTAATTTGCAAGGATGGATAGGCATGATGCAATAATATGCAAAGACGGAAGGACAATGGCGGGCCTGTTGTCCGATTCAAATGATGTGATAATATGCAAAGACGGAAGGACAATGGCGGGCCTGTTGTCCGATTCAAATGATGTGATAATTTGCAA